CTTGAGTCCCATATATGTCTCCAACCCTCCATCCAAAATCACCCTTAGTGATTTGGCATTTCCACATCATTGTTCTAGTTTTTTTTTTTTTTTCCAAATTTCATATTCAAGAAGATGTCTTTTGGAGATGAATTTCCATGTAAGCGCAAACGACGTCTTATTGGATTTGAAATTTGAGTAAAAACTAAACCAATTAGGGTTGGCTTTCTTCAATTGCTCTCTCTTAAGAGAATCATCTTTCCATCTCGCTCGGGGATCTTTGATTTTGTGCTTAGTCTTCAATCTCTCATGCTCGGGAATCTTCCATCTCTCGCGGTCGGAGAGCTTGCGCTTTAGACACACAACTTGGGACGCTCAAACAGCTCTCGCTTGGGACTTTTATTTCTCTTAGTTGTCAAGAGAAATTTTGGATGGAAAATTAATGGGGGCAGATATGAGACTCAAGTAAAAGTTAGTGATTTTTTATGAGACAAAAAAAAGTTTAAGGTAGAATTGGGACTAAACCTAAAGTTTGGGCTTTTTTATGGGACAAAAAAAAGTTTAGGGTCGAATTGGGAATGAACCTAAACTTGGGGGTTCTTTAGGGTATTAGGCCAAAAATTTGGTCTTATCGAATCAATCAATAAGAGATTGTTTCAAAAAATTACCCTGTCAATCCTAAACCTATTATACGAAAGCCAATTCAGTCCTAAACTTTTCAATTTTACTAATTTAGTCCTAACCAATTGCGTGAAATTCCAACGTAGTCCTTTCGGTCAATTTTTTTCGGAAATCGTTGACGTGGCGGTCCAGTCGTCGCCGGCCGTCTTATGTGGCACGCCGCCATGTTAGCAATATTTTCGGCGAAAATTAGCCGGAAGACTACGTTGGAATTTTGCGCCAAAATTTAGGACTAAATTGGTAAAATTAAAAAATTTAGGACTGAATTGACATCTCAATAATATGCTTAGAACTGATCGAATAATTTTCCCGATTGTTACCCTGTCTCTAGTCACACTCAGTCCATTTGTAAAATGTTTTTGCACATTTATCATTACTCTTGAAGGCTACTGATACCTTGAATTTTACTAAAAGAATATGTCAAAATCGGAAAAATAATAGATCGACTTGTTCTATTGATGATGTGGTAAATAAAGTCAATTAAATCCCTGAGAAAAAAATTTATGCCTTTTAGTGAGGTCTAATGTGACTTTCATTATTTCTCAATATGTGATTGGGTTAATCCAATAGATTAATTAAGCTGCAAAAATCTATTCACATTAAATTCATATTGAGAGTTTAAACTAGTCAACCATTAAATTCATGGATCCATTTGTTTATACACTTAACAAAGATAAACCCTTCTTGTTTTTTTTTGGAAATACAGATTGCTAAAAGTTCTTTGCACCTCTACTATTATTCTAAGACTATAGACGTGAACGATCCAACTTCTGGCAGAAAAGGCCAAAAAGAAAAAAGATAAAGCCAAGGATTCAACTTGAGCGATGTCTAGCAATGCATCATGCAATCTATACCAGCATTACGTCGAAGCAGAAATGAAAAACAACAAACAAGTTGGAATATTTTAAAGTGGTCGGTTGCTTCTGAAGTTAGTTCAAAACTATACTCTCTCGCGTAAAAGGTCTTTATATAATATTTTTTCTATATTGCATTTGGCCATGACATGTATTTTTAAATTTAATAAAATAAGGTTACATGCCTTTCACGTCCAACCGAAATAAATATTTAAAGAAAGGTAGTACATACGACAATCAAATTAAAGGAGAAAGAGTAGAGTACACGGTTTTTGAGCATTTCAAGCATATTTTCCACTAAATAGATGCACAGGTTCTTTTATTTCATTATTGAACAATTATTATTATGTTAAACTTATATAGGAATTTATCAGCAACGACAAAACATTTTTGTTTTAATTTAAAAGATGAAAATCAAATAATAAATTCTAATTGTAATCATTTGTACTATCTATATAAAACAAAGAGAATTTCCTATTTTTGAGAGACGTCAACTGTTTTTTTTTTCCCTAAATACTATTAGTTACTTATTTTACAAAAAAAATCTCGTCCATGGGTGAATAGGTAAATTCATGATTTTATATTATCTCTCATGTTCTTCAATATTATAATTGGGATGTCTATTGCCCTGCAAAAACCTTCTTAAAATGATTAATCTCGAAATTTTTTCTCTTTCCATGAGTACAATATTCTTTGAATAGTGTATTTTCATCAATAGTTTATTTCATTATTTAACGATTCAAATGTTTCCTAACAAACTTAGAATTTTAAATATCAATTTCTTTCACACACGCAACACATGTACATTTGCTAATTTAACATTATATTCTCTTAGATCTTACTCTGTATGTATTGACAATTCCCCACCATTATCCTTTCTGATTTTTTTATGAATTTATATAAATGGCAATCTATCTTGTTTAGGTAGATTCTCAAACAATGACATATGTATGCATGTATATATGTCTTCACATTTTCAGTGTTTTGGATTAAGATTAATTTTCTTTAGTAAATCAATTTAGGATGATTGACATTTAAATTCTAATTTGGAATTTGAGAGACTTAAGATATTGGCGTAAATGCTTGGCAATACGTGGAGCATGCTACATAGCCTCTGCACAAAAATCTCCATATGCTCTAATACATGGGCAAGACCCTAAAAAATAGTAAGTGTTATATTTCATGTACATCAGTTTCTCCTTCATATCCTATGTGTATATATATATACACACACGTCTTGACTGCCTTTACTTGTATTGTGTAAGCGAAAAAGAGACAAAGGGAAAATTCTTCTGACAACTATATGTGACCTCAATTTTCTTTCAAAGAAGAACTTGAGAATTGATGAAAACAATCGAGTAGTGGAATGTACAATGATATGTCACTCATTAAGGACTTGAGAATGGAATTAAGTTAGCCAAACATTATCCCATAGGAATTTGCAAACTTGGAGAAGAAACGGGTTATAACTTGAAAACATTACACAAGTGCTTTATATTCTAATTGAGGGCTATCCCTTGTGAACAGGTAAGGGTCATCATCTTTTGGGTGTCTACATACGTGGTTGGCGAGCTTCCACACATGGTCAAACTTAGATTCTAACAGAAAAGAGGTGATCAAGAAAAAAACAAGAGAAAATTAGTTTACAAAGAAAAAGAGCAGAGAAAGAGACAAAGCCTGAGTAAGAGGTCCAGAGAGGTTGAGGGTCCAAATCGAACAGCTAAGGGTCTAGTGGGATGTAGCAATAGCACCAGGAGATGCAGGTGACCAAACCAAGATTTGAAGGAATATGCCCCAAAAGAGAAAAGGGTCCCCATCTTTCATCACCTTTTTTTCTTTGATTAGTTTTCGTTCTTCATTTCTCCTTTACATGCGCTGTTCTTCCATTTCTTTCTCGGGGTTGATTAATATGCAGCTGTGCTTTGGGCAAAATCACCCCAAAAACTCAAAATTATGTCCACTGCGACACATTTACCCTAAAGCTTTTTCTGTGACACAAAAAATCCTAAACTTGTACCTTTGACACATATACCCTCTATCAAAACTCCATCAATAAGAACCGCTAAAAATCTACCTATATTGTGACGCTGGAAAGTAAATGTTGCTGACATGACACTCATGTGACTTGAGTTCAATAAAAACAACGTTGTTTTGATTGAAAAATCATCTGACGGAACATTGATGGAGAGTCAATGTCACATAGGTACGAGTTTGGGATTTTTCATATCGCAGGAAAAAGTTTAGGGTAAATGTATTACAGTGAGCGTAGTTTGAGGTTTATTGTGGCCTTTTCCCTTGTGCTTTTCAAGGAATCTTCAAGTTCTGTATAGTAAGCCTGTTCATATGTTAAATCATTGGAATATTATGAGCCAACACGTAACACGTGACAGTCATTCATGAGTATCCTTTGTCTTAAAATGTGACTTTACCTAAAACATGCATTATACAAAAATTGGTGGGTCTAAGGCTAGCAAATGATTGGGCTCAGCTACGAGATGATAGAGTGATAAGGATCTCCTCATAGTGAGCTAAAATAATCTAAACATGTAATCATGGTGGGAGGGAGTTGCCCCCTCTGACCTGGTTTGAAGAAAACATGGCCCCTTACAAGTTTTATACCTATTTAGCTGGCCGGTATTGGATTCACTTGGAGTGAATTTTCTTGACACTTTAAAAGAAAAGGCAACATCAGTTCTAGAAAAGGTTAATTCCTTGATTCACTCAAAAACCTTCTTGGGGCCCGATGATAATTACATCATTATCTTTGTTGTCGATCGTTTCTGGGAAAATGGATGCAAACATTTGATCCTTAGTCATCTTCCTCATACTATCATGAAAGATCCAACGTTTCACAAAACTTGTAATTTCCACATTTTCTCGGGGCTTGCGTGAGACAATGCATATGTGTGCAGCCACGGCCAATCAGACCAGAGCACCATGACATATTATAATGCGAAACCAATCCTCCTTTCCATATAATAACAAAAGGCAAAGAGGGAGACTTTAAGCAACATGCTCTTAAAGCAAACCCTCATCGTATCAACTAAACTCGCCCAAAAAGCAAAAGGAAATGGGACAAGGACAAGAAGGAAAACATTATATTTTCCCAATACCACACACGGTGGTCTCAGTCATCTTTCTTTGACGCTCTACCAAAATGAGGGTGGCCAAGTCCTTCCTATGTGGCAACCAAAAAAAAAAAGGTCCTTCCTTTGACAGACCAAAAAAAAAGTCACTTCCTCTGATGCTGCCTGAAAGTAACAACCACCAAACACACATGATTGTGCATTATTATTCCTTTTTTTTTCCTTATAAACTCATTCATCAATGAGATTATGGTGAGGCTGCTTCATGGAAAAATCCACCTAATAATCATTCTGATGCCTCACGACTCCCTCTCTATATAGAGGTGAGCAGCTCAGGTGTTTACTTTTATGCGTACCCTTCTTTCTTCTCTCTCTCTCTCTCTCTCTCTCTCTCTCTCTCTCTCTCTCTCTCTCTCTCTCTCTCTCTCTCTAATTTCTTAAAGGGTTACATCAAACGGTCTTCAGTTGCTGAAGGCCAAATGGGTTCTCCAGGAGAGGATGAGATAGAGAAAGGAGATCAAATGAGAAACAGAAATAAGGGCACAAAAAAGTCAGTGGCAATAATCTTCAGATATGCTGATTGGATTGATGTTGTGCTCATGCTGTTGGGAACATTTGGAGCTGTTGGAGATGGCATGTCCACCAACTGCTTGCTGCTTTTTGCAAGCCGTCTCATGAATAGCTTAGGGTTTGGTCAGACCCAACAAAACAGTGGCCACTTCATGGATGAAGTAGAACAGGTAAATACAGTCACCATATATAGAGACACACACCAGTCTCTCTCTCTCTCTCTCTCTCTCTCTCTCTCTCTCTCTCTCTCTCTCCCCGAGTCACTCACAGATTTCTATTTTTGGGTTTTGTGTTCACAGTGCAGCTTAAACTTTGTGTACTTGGGATTAGCAGTCATGCTCGTGGCTTTTTTGGGTAAATTTTCTAACCTTTCCTTTTACTTTGCTTTCCAAGGACACAAGGAGTTTTGATTCAAAGTGTGCCTGGAGAATTATTCTCCTAAGACTACACAATCTAGAAGTTCATCAAAGTTTTGCACTCAAATTGGGAGACACCATGGTCACCAGAGTGGACACGCAAGTATAATTTAAAGAAAAGAAAGAGACTACTTTGGAGGCAGTCTTTGGTGGGTTTTCTTGGGAAACCCTAGAAGGCCTAAAAATTTTCTAGAACTCAAGTTACACATTCAGTAAAATTTACACATGCTTCGAAGAATCTTGAAAAAAGGATCAATCTAACTGATGAGAAGTTGCAGAAGGATATTGTTGGAGTAAAACGAGCGAGCGACAGGTACTAAAGATCCGGTACAAGTATTTGGAGGCCATTCTCAGACAAGAGGTTGGCTTCTTTGATTCACAAGAGGCCACTACATCGGAAATTATCAATAGCATTTCAAAGGATACTTGTCTGATTGGTGAAGTCCTTAGTGAAAAGGTACTATATCGATTGACCTAACATAAGGAAAAGATGGGTGCGTTTGCTTTTATAAAAGTTTTCCTCTTTTGATCACTACAATGCCTCATGACTATTTTCTGATTCTACATTTTACCCTTTCTAGAAAACGTCTTGGTAGATAGATAATTTCAGTCTTATAGTTCATATTTCTTTGCATCGAGTTTCAATTCTCTTTTGTTGTAGTCATAAAATGATTACATTTCTATGAAATTTCACTCTTCTTGAATTATATCTAGTTAGGAATCAAGGGAACGTTTTCTCGGTTTAGGAGAATCGCCTTTCGCGTTGTGTGAAGAAACCGAACAACAAAAATAGAACAAAAACTGAAAAGAATTCATGAAAGCTTAAACTTCTGATTCTTTAGTTACAAGGAAATATTTTACAAAAAAATTACATCATCAATAGAAGCAGCTCATTTATTTTATTTCTTTTACCATTTTTCTTCAGATGATAATCTGTCAAATCTTATTGTGCTTTTGTACCAAGAACATACCAACCTTCTTGGCGTGTTTCATGTTGATCCTTTGTTTCAATTTTCTTCAGGTTCCGATATTTCTGATGCATGCGTCGGTTTTCTTCTCGGGCCTCGCATTTTCCACTTACTTCTCTTGGAGGCTGTCCCTGGTGGCCTTCCCGCTGTTGCTTCTCTTGATAATACCGGGAATGATATACGGCAAGTACCTTCTCTTTCTGTCGAAGAAGTGTCAAAAGGAGTACGGTAAAGCCAACACTATCATAGAGCAGGCCTTGAGCTCCATCAAAACAGTGTATTCCTTCACTGCCGAGAGACGTATTCTTGAGAGGTACTCTTCCATTTTGGAGAGAACAACAAAGCTAGGAATCAAACAAGGCATAGCCAAAGGTCTGGCTGTGGGAAGTACCGGCCTTTCTTTTGCCATTTGGGCTTTCTTGGCTTGGTACGGAAGCCGCCTGGTCATGTACAAAGGCGAGAGTGGTGGCAGGATTTACGCAGCAGGCATTTCCTTCGTACTTAGTGGATTGTAAGTTAATTTCCTCAATTACTTACCCAAAATACATTTGCCCAATATATGCATACACTCCCAAGTAAAAAATAAAGTAATTGCATGTATGCTTATATCTGTCAGTATATGTCTATAATTGATAGTTGTTACATAATCTAGAATCTAGTAGAAAATGGTATCTTTAATTTGTACAGATTGTACCCCAAATAGAATGGAATAGCAAACACATGAATACCTAGATTGTGATAATAAATGAGTTAGAGAATATTCTCTCCATTTTCTCATCTATGACTTTACTGAAATATCATCTCCATAAAACTGATAATTACATAAAAAAAAACCACTTTTCATTTGATCAATGCTTCCAGCAATTTTTTTTTACTTCACTATGCTGCTTGCTTCTTTATCTCAGCATAGGCCCGACCACCTTTTAAATTTCACTGAATTGTAAAATGCATGAGCCAGTTTAAGTGAAATTTGATCTTGACAAAGCAAAGGATATACATGTACCACTTATCAGATTATAATCTTTTTGTTCTGACCAAAAAAAAAAAAGGTTATAATCTTTTTGTTCATTTTTTACAGTATCTCAGAATGTTCTCCACTTCAGCCTGCTTTTATCGCACTTAAAAGCTTTTTCTTGATGAGGTTAGCTAAAGATGAGCATAGAATAATCGTTTGCAAGAGCTTTGTAAATGTAGACTAATACAGAATCATGAATAATAAGAACTTTTCGACCAAAAAAGAAAGAATAATATGTATTTTAATTATAACGAAACTCTGTTAATGTTCGCCTTTCATCCTTCATATGGTGAAGCTCCCAAATCTAATATTGCATTAGAAAGCTTAAGCACTTTTAATTTCTTAAAAGGAGTTACTACATCTACAACTTAAAGGAAATTAAACATATATTACAACATATGTAGAGCCAAATGTGACGTGCCTGTCCTTAACCTGCTTGCCATTAGCTATGCTTTTCAAGTTAAGTCATGAACGACAAAATTTCTGCATTTCAGTTTTGATTTTATTGCTAGAGAATCTTTATCTTACATCGTCAATTGCCAGAATTGTCGAGTTCAAAAGTATTCCAACTAATGTTTCGGCATCGATGATTTTTCATGAAAGGGGACCCAATGCTTGGCTAATAATGGCAAGCAATATTCTCTCCTTTTAGGGCCGCTTGTTGACAAACTCACTTTAAAGGTCACTCTTTGGAAAAGGCATATATATATAAAGACGCTCTAGATGAAACCCTATTTAATGTTTGGACTACAAATCATGCACAATTTGGAAAAAATGATAAAATTTATATCATATCAACTAACGGTTCAAATTTGGATGTTTCTGATCCTTATGATTCAGTACATAGTATTTCCGAGTACCTATTGCTTTGCCTCCGTAAAGGCTAAAGATGATATCATTTTAAGTTTTTACTTGGTTGGATCGATGTAAGCTGTATTGTGCACTCTGGAGTCCTAAATTTTGGCTAAACTAGTAGCAATAATTATTGACTACTGATTTGTTCACGCTCGAGAATATCGACGCACGCATAATTTGCAGAACCCTTGTATGCATATCTGCCTATATTGGTTACAAATCTGAAATGGTCGATCTTGATGTAGATCCCTCGGGATGGCGCTTCCTGACGTGAAGTACTTCACCGAAGCATCAGTTGCGGCAGCACGAATATTTGAAAGAATAGATCGGGTTCCAGAGATAGACAGTGAAAGTCCTCAAGGATGTGTCTTAGACAACATGTCAGGGGAAATAGTCTTTGACCATGTGAAGTTCACATATCCTTCTAGGCCAGACTCGGTCGTCCTTAAGGATTTCAACCTGAAAGTTGAAGCGGGAAAAACCGTCGCTCTCGTCGGAGCGAGCGGGAGTGGCAAGTCCACCGCGATTGCGTTGCTGCAGCGGTTCTACGATCCTGATGGAGGAGTTGTGCGCATAGATGGAGCCGATATAAAGACGCTACAGCTAAAATGTATAAGACAGAAGATGGGACTGGTTAGCCAGGAACACGCTTTGTTCGGGGCATCGATAAAGGAGAATATAATGTTTGGGAAGCTGGATGCTACGATGGAAGAAGTCACTACCGCGGCAATCGCTGCGAATGCTCATGACTTCATAAGGCAGCTTCCGGATGGATATGAGACCAAGGTAACTTGAGTGCGTTTTCCAAATAATGCATCATTTTGGTATGCAGTGTAATCATACGAATAGACTAAATCGCATTGAGAATCTACCGTGTTTAAGTTGGTTAGTTCTAGATTTAGCCTACGCAATCAAGAGAGTTTTTTCACGGGGATTAAACTTACAGGTTGGTGAAAGAGGAGCATTCTTATCAGGTGGACAAAAGCAGAGAATTGCCATTGCGAGGGCCATCATAAAGAACCCAGTGATTCTCCTACTAGACGAAGCAACTAGTGCACTCGACTTGGAATCAGAAGGGCTTGTTCAAAATGCCCTTGATCAAGCCTCTTTGGGAAGAACCACACTGGTACTATTTTGTTTTTTGTTTTTGGTTCTTGGCTCAATAGGGAATGAATTCGAATCCAGATCATACTGTAGTTGTTTTTATATCTAGATTCACATTTCTAAAGATTATATCTCTGTTAATCTTAACACATGGATAAATCATACATGATAACTCTCACTCACTTTATAATTAAGTTAATCATGCTGTTCACGACATGATGTGATTCACAATTGGAGTTTCAAATGAAAACGATGAGTCAAAATCGGGTTTGTTTCTATGTCACAAATGAGCCCTGATCAGCTGCCAATTTGGCATCCTCAGGTGGTTGCACACAAGCTGTCGACTGTGAAAAATGCGGACCTCATTGCCGTGGTCAATGGCGGTCGTATCGTTGAGATAGGCTCCCACAACGATCTGATCGAGAAAAAAGATGGCCACTACGCAAAACTGGCGGAACTACAGAGCCAGTTCAACTGTGATGAACCAGAGCAAGGATCCGATATTCGCATATCCTCTGTCGTGAGAAGCAGCGCGGGCAGGCTGAGCACTTCGAAGTCGAGCCCGGGTATATTTGCTTCGCCTATACCAGTGTTGGATAGCCCGCAGCCAGTCTCTCATCCTCCACCGTCCTTTTCTCGGCTTTTATCGTATAGTGGTCCAGAATGGAAGCAAAGCCTTATAGGAAGTCTTTCAGCCATGGCCTTTGGGGCAGTCCAACCTGTCTATGCCTTAACAATTGGTGGCATGATATCCGCTTTCTTTGTACAAGATCACGGCGAAATGCGAGAGAGAATCCGAACCTACACCTTGATTTTCTCCTCTCTTTCCTTAATTTCGATCTCTGTCAATCTCTTGCAGCACTACAATTTCGCCTACATGGGAGAGCACCTCACAAGGAGAATCAGGTTGCGAATGCTCGAGAAAATCTTGACTTTTGAGCCCGCTTGGTTCGATGAGGAGGAGAACTCGAGCGGAGCATTGTGCTCTAGGCTGAGCAATGAAGCTTCCACGGTCAAGTCTCTCGTAGCCGACAGAGTCTCTCTCCTGGTCCAAACCACTTCCGCAGTCACGATCGCAATGATCATGGGTCTTGTGGTGGCTTGGAAGCTCGCGCTTGTCATGATCGCAGTGCAGCCCCTCACGATCCTATGTTTCTACACCCGCAAAGTCCTGTTATCAAGCTTTTCAGCTAAGTTCGTTAAGGCTCAAAACCAAAGTACTCAAATAGCCGTGGAGGCAGTTTACAATCACAAGATAGTAACTTCCTTTGGGAGCATCCAGAAAGTTCTTGAACTGTTTGATAAAGCTCAAGACGAGCCCAGGAAGGAAGCCAGGAAGAAGTCGTGGCTGGCCGGGATAGGCATGGGGTCGGCACAGTGCCTAACATTCATGTCGTGGGCTTTAGATTTTTGGTACGGTGGTACATTAGTAGAGAAGGGACAGATATCAGCAGGGGATGTATTCAAGACATTCTTTGTGTTGGTCAGCACTGGCAAAGTCATCGCCGAAGCTGGAAGCATGACATCCGATTTAGCCAAAGGGTCTGCTGCGGTTGCATCAGTGTTCCAAATTCTTGATCGCCAATCGCTTATCCCATGGTCCCGCCAAGTGAGTACATGTTTATCATATCATATGACCCATACTTTCAAATTTAGGCATTGAGAAAACACCAAACATTTGACAATGTTTTGATGAAAAAACTTCGTTGTCTTTTGTTGGCTGAAACATGATCAGGCAGAGGACGGTGGCAGTGGAACCATACTGCAGCAAGTAACTGGAAAGATAGACCTGAGGAGTGTTGATTTTGCATATCCAAGCAGGCCCAAGAGTCTGATACTGAGGCAATTCTCACTGGAAGTGAAACCGGGCACAAGTGTTGGGCTTGTGGGCAAAAGCGGGTGTGGGAAATCGACCGTGATCGGCTTGATTCAGAGGTTTTACGACGTTGAGAGGGGGTCAGTGAGAGTCGATGGCGTGGACATAAGAGAGGTCGACATCCACTGGTACAGGAAGTACACGGCACTTGTCAGCCAAGAACCGGTCATTTACTCGGGCAGTATACGCGACAACATCGTCTTTGGCAAGCTCGATGCCACCGAAAACGAAGTGGTGGAGGCTGCAAGGGCAGCCAACGCTCACGGATTCATCTCGTGAGCTTTCCCTTCTTCTGTCATGCCGTATTGATAATGACCAAAGACACGGCACTCAATTTGAGCACGTCCAAACCTAATGAAATTAAGATGCTAACAGCTAGATTACATAGGTCAAGCCACTAATTTGACATGCATGCTAATTTGTGGATTAACCGTACCTATCATGCTGGCAATTGTGCAAATTTTGACTAAGTTGGTAATCTAATTGTTCAGGTCTTTGAAGGATGGATATGAGACAGAATGTGGCGAGAGAGGGGTGCAACTATCAGGAGGCCAAAAGCAGAGAATAGCAATTGCAAGGGCCATCATACGGAACCCGACCGTGCTGTTGCTCGATGAGGCGACCAGCGCGCTCGACGTGCAGTCGGAGCAAGTGGTGCAAGAGGCGCTGGACCGGATCATGGTTGGGCGGAGCACGATCGTGGTGGCCCACAGGATCAACACGATCAAGGATCTCGACTCGATCGCACTCGTCGCCGATGGCAAGGTGGTTGAGCGGGGGACCTACGCGCAGCTCGTGAACAAGCGAGGCGCTTTCTTCAATCTTGCCAACCGTCAGATTTAGGCATTTGGGTCGTGCTAAAGATGGGGTATATGCAATAACCTAGTGTCTGAGGTTAGTGCCCAGACATATTTTGTATTGCGTAAGAGGTGGTGTGTACTAGGCCTTCTGCATGTGAGGAATCTTCAGGCCTTGTGGCAAGTAAGGAAGGGCTGGTGTAGAGGTTACATCGACGACTACAACATAGTCGGATCAGGATAAAAAAGACCGGACTCATCGCAAATAACCGTTGTAATGACGCTTTTAGCGACTGTAATTGAATGATGTGCATATATATGTGTGTGTGAAAGCCAGTATAAGCAAGATTTTGAGGTTAGGCATGTGAAGATCCGTGCATTTCGACTGCTAATCTAACCTACCGACGCAGTAAACTGTTGGATTTGTAACATAATAATGTGATATGCGATCTTGGTCGAGGACAAGCTGATGTAAGAAATGGTTACCATGCTAACTTTGTAACTTGTCTTCCTTGCAAAAGATAAGAGAGCAACACCGGGACAAAAGCATATGTCAATGACCCTGAACGAATTGGCGATCTTTGTGGGCAGTGCTTCTCACTCTTGCGAGATTTCTTCTCAGATTCGATGTTCTTGACGTCAAATGAATGCATCCGAAACAGTGATTTTGGAAAGACCAGTGATCTCTAAAATACCTACGGAATTTAAACTGAAAAGGTTCTCACTCGGGAAGGAAGTGATATACAAGGAAAGAGTGGCCTTTTCAGTGATCAAAGAAAACAGAGAGAACATGATCTTGTGTTCATAGAGAAGATTACTAATTGTAGCTACGCAGAATTCTGTCATTCCGTGTCAAAAGGACATGATGTTTTGCGGTGCTGGTGAATGTCAATAAGTATCGTTTTATATTGGTCGAAGGAAAATTTCATTCCTTTATCATAATTAAATATAAGAGGAATATAAAAACCTTTTAAGCAAAGCAAATCCCCAAAAAAATGCAAAATAAAACAAAATCCAAAAAACAAAAGAGTACAACTAGGGATGAGAATGTCCGGGTTGGGCCCGTCCAACACCTAACCCAAGAACCAATCCGCACAGTAGTGTTGGTTCCCAATTTTTGGGACTAAGGACCAACCTTGATGAGCCTGAGACCGAGGACCGGATCAACCCTATGGGTCCGGTCCGATTCCAAGGTCAACCCGAGACCAATCTATTATTTTTTTATCATATTTTGTATTCCTTGAAAATGCAAACATACTATTTCAAATTATATATCCGTAAACAATGTGACATTTAGCAACCAAACTGTGAACACCTGTACATATCAAACATAAATATAAGACAATGTAACAACATAAAATTCACACTTGCTAAAAGCAACAGACCAATTAAACCATAAGAAGTTCAAAATACGTAATATAAACCATGAATTATACAACTTCATATCTTATTCATTCTTAAATGATCGCTTCAACTTCCGAACACCTAAAAACAAAATAAACAACACACATAATTAATACTTAACAAAGTATATTTGTGCATTTGAGCTAAGCTGCGCTCGCGAGGCAAGCGAGGTGAGCGGCGAGGCGAGTGAGGCAAGCAAAGAGAGGCGAGCAAACATAAGCAAGCCAGGCGAGGTGAGAGGCCAAGGCGAGCAAGCGAGGCATAGATGAGAGAAAAGGGTTTCTATTTTTTTTTTGTCGAAGTAGGGCTGGGTTTCTTTATACTTTCTATTTACACGGCAAACTGAACTACTTAAAAAAGAAGAGAACAGAAGAAGAGGCGCTAGGGTTTAGAGTAGACAAAAGCATATAATATATATTATATATAATTATATAATTATATAATATATACAGGGTTTGTCCGGGTTGGACCAACCTTGAACTCCCAAGACCGAGGACCAACCCGTTTGGTGCAGGGTCCAGGGATTCTAGCACCAAGGACAAACCCAGACCCCTTGGGAAACAAACCTAGACCAGCCGGGTTGGGCCGGTCTAGAGTCGGTCCAGGGTTGACCCTGAACCAATGCTCACCTCTAAGTACAACTTGCAGTTATAAGCATACTCTCATCCCAAAAGACCATGTCTATCACAGTATCAAAAAATGATTGGCGGCTCATCACCGGAATTGTCAGTGATGGGCACACGCTAAGATCTTTTCCTCCAAAAACTCATTACAAGCATGATATGTTTTTCTTTACGATGTGTTTTCTTAAGGTAAATTTTTATTGTCGAAAGCATGAGTTATTATAAACATCATAAAGAAAAAGAGTTGTTATGAATGTGGAACTAGGTAGTGGTAATCGATTCCCGGTCTGATCCAATGGAATAGGTAACTTTTTTTTTTTTCGAATGGCAGTGTATTAGTTCTTATAAAACCTAATGCTTTTGTTTTAGAAAAGAAGCCGGCATGACATTTCCATGGTTTCATGAGGTGGCGTCCCATCTGTATATTTAAAGTGTTCCCATAATTTGTTGGGAGGTGGTCGACGTTACTGCTTCAATTTTGAAGGGAGAGAAACTTCAACATGTGCCGGAATGCTTCCCTGAAGATTTTGGAGGGATTTAGTTCATATTTTACTAATTTTTTTAAAGAAATATATATAATCGGTCCGGTCCAGTCCGGTTCCTCCTTGGAATCGAGAACCGGACCACTCGGACACCAATTTGGTCCGGTCCGAGCGGTTTCCAGTTTAAGTGGTCCGATTTGCACACTACTAGCTAGAAATGGGAGCTTCTTCAAGGTTCCATTTATTTCACGGAAAATAAATAATTTGAAAAATATTTTCCTAAAACTAATCGCCTATATTGCTTAAAATAACGAGTCAACAAAAGATGTTTTCAATACTAATAGCAATCTATATCTAAATATTTTTATGGACAATAAAAATATTTTTTGCCCATTCATTTTTATAAGCAACACAAGATATTACTTTTAGGAAAATATTTTCCAAGTCATTTATTTTTCACGAAACAAACACACCATTTCTTTCCCTTTTTTTTTTATATTTTTTTGTGCTTTTTCCTTTTTCGGAACTTGCCTATATGGATTGTCTGGCCCTAGCATTCTCTTTCTCACTCTCCTGCTTCGATAGGGATTTTTGTGCTGCTATTAAAGGATACAAATTCAATGGCAATTTCAGCTAAATAATAAGATGAGTGGAAGAGAATATGAGATATTTTTAACAATCTAAGTTAACAAGTTTCGTAATTTTTAGGGCTAATATCACCAAAAATATCAAATTGATATATCCGTGCCACATTTATCCTAAATTAATTTTTGTATAACAAAAAATCTCAAACCGGTATATCCGTGATCAAAATCTTAAGGTCAAACTAGGGCAAATGTGGCACAAGTGATGAGTGTACCAATTTGAGATTTTTTGTAACACAAAAATTAATTTTGGATAAATATCAATTTGTGTTGATGATATGAATCTCTAATCGCGTCGAACTTGGTTAATATTATATTTGTATGCATTTATTATGACATATTCTCGCCGGAGTGGCACTTAATTGTCACATCGACAATTCTATTTAGAATATTTTTACAAGAAAAACCAATTTAAATAAATAAAATACAATTTAATGGCACGATCGTGTAAAATAAAACCCAAAAATGACGTTGAACAAGTGCAAAAAATTCAAGGACCTCCATGCCATTGTCCCAAATATGAATCTACATTTGAATCATCTCTTGCAAATGATTACGTTGCAAGAGTTGCATTTTCATAATGGCATTCCAAAAATTAGAAGTATCTTTTCAGAAACTTTATAAATGAATTCCCAACCATATCACGGGGCTCCAAAAAATTAAAGAATTCTTAATTATCCCCATAATATTGACGGATACAAAGAAATAAAAGAAAATACGTCTAATGATGATTCAGGATTGAGAACTAGTTGCCGTCCAAACATTTATATCTAAAATAGGGAAAAAAAAAAAGTAGAACTATGGCACGTGGCAAAATTCGTGACACGTGGCATGTCTACTGTCCAATTTTTTTAAGGGACAACAGCAAGAAACTCTCTCGACTTTACTCTCCATATCAAATGGAGCAATGCTAGGGTGACTGCTCCGTCATTCTTTACCGTAGTGACGGTGCTCTCTTGATCACAGATATTTCATGGAACTGGACTACTTACCGAGCCGATTTTTCAGAGAAAATTAAGAGAAATTTCACTTGTTTTATATTGTTTTGACGCAACAATAAAGAGAAAAAGAAAGAAACGATACAGGTGCCACCAATACTTTAATTCTTGTAATATTGAGGATGTATTTTCCAACGTAGAAAGAATGATATTTCTTACATTTAGCTTTTCTTTTATTGTTGCATCAGCATCAGAACCATCAATGGCAGGTAAAAGATCTTACTTTTCTCATGAAAACCGGTGGAGCAAAGTAGGCCTCAACTCTCTTTTCTTGTCATTTTTCTCTCCTCACGCACAGTAGCATAGCACGATAAGAGCGAGAGCCACCCGAATGACCGAGCCATCGTTCAACGCCACAGCCCGACCCGACGCCGATGCCGACACCCTCGCCCTCGCTTCACCACCGTGCCCCCTTCCCCGCGTCCCTATCTCTACTTGTGTTGAGATCGTTTGTGACTCGCGGTTGGCGGAGGCTGTGTGAGGTCGGCCTCGAGCCCCTCGAGCTCACAATGGCCATGGCGGATCCGCAAGCTGCCAAGCTCTGCCACGGAGCTTGGACATGGCCACATCGAGCTCTCGATTTGCCCTTTGACCCGGCACGGCGATTGCCGCCGGCCTCGGATCTGAGGTCAACGACGGCCTTAGAAGGAGTAACAGCTGCTAGCCTGGCGGAAAGGGGGGAAACGTGGTGGGGGGTACGTCGGACTAAGCAAGTCTCGCATGTTGGGCGATGATGGAATTTTTAAAATGAGGATAGTTTGGTAAATAAAACGACAATTTGGTCAATTACGTGTGGATTGATAAATCTAGGTTTTATAATGCGACTAAAGTATTTGATATGGAGAGCAAATGCGAAATTTTTTAATTTTGGAAATCTTTTATTTTTTTAAAAATTGTACGAATGAAATGTCAACTAGCCCTAGTTGAGTAAGATAATGCACAACCAAACAATTCTGGCAACTGTATGTGCATCGTCAACGTCGTTTCTATATTACATAAATCATGTTGGCCTCTCTGTGGCCGAAGACCAAGAACTCGTCGTCGACCTTCAGGTCATATAGTATTCAGGGAGCTTAGGCAGAAAATATTAGACTTTGCGTATATATACACAAAAGTTTAATATTTTACTCTTTTGTTCCCCCTTATCTTGGGGCTCTTGCGA